CAAGAAGCTTGCCCTGTTGGAACTGCTCCTCTAGAAGACTGCTGATTTTTGCATTCTTTTTCCTTTCATCGTATTTTTTCTGAGTTCTCTTTGATCGCTTTTTGTTTAAAATCTCTTCCTCCTCAGGAGTCTTAAAAAAGCAAACAACATAAGTAAGACAGGCATTTGCCTGTGATCCTAAAGCCTTTTATCAGAAGAAAACCATTATAAAATAAACAAAAGCCCTAAAAATTTTTTAAAAGCAACAAGCCATTATAGCCAGTGTTCTCAAACTCTGAGCACCCCAACCCCAGCCTTCCTCAGCACTAAGGCTTTCATCTTGCTCTTCAGTAGCAGAACTGGACAGAGTTTTCATCATAAGAAGGCTGCCCTCCCACTGTTCATAAAAGGCAATTGATTTCAACACTCACCAGCTTAGCCCCCTTCTTGCGACCCAGGGGTAGCGCATAGTGGGACTCATACCACTGGCGGTATGGTGTACTGTCAATGAGCACGATGCAGTTCTTCACGAGGGTCTTGGTTCGGACCAGTTCATTATTGGAGGCGTTGTAGACAACATCAATTATCCTTGTTTTGCGAGTACAACCTGCCCACAAGAGAAATTCAGACACCAAGCCATATAAACCAGGTGCCAAATGGTTAACCCCTAATCCAATGTCTTTTGACCAACAGGGGCCCAAGGATAGCCCAGTCAAAAGCAGTAAGGGGATCCCAAGCTTTTACCCAGTCATTGAGGGTGAGAATCTGCTTATTTGTCACTCATCTCACACTGCAAATAGCTGGCAAACATATTACTCTCTACTTTTAGCCAACAAACCACTAGTTTACCATAACTGAGGGTCAAAGTGCAGGATGAAGTTTCCAGTCATCAAAACCCCATTCAGTAAATACTGTCTTTAATGGTCTTGTCTGTGGCAAGGCCTTCCTACTACCGTCACCCAACTCCCGCACCCTTACTCACATTCAGAGCCCCAGGAGAAGTTCCCCACATCCAATCTTAGGGCACGGTACTTCTTGTTGCCTCCTCTCACACGAACTGTGTGTATACGTCGGG